ACCACAACTTACTGCTGGGGGGAGTTAAGCACATCCTGAGGCTTCACTTGATCCTAAGTACCCTTTGAGAGCTGGAGCCTGGTTTCCTCTAGACTTGGCCCATTGTCTTTCCCTTTTGCTTTTCACTGGGTATGGTTATCTTGGGGGGACCCAATACAGATGGGCATGTCACAAAGTTGAAGACATTATAAAGGATAATAGGGGAAAGAGGCATTAGATGATTCAAGATGAAGGTCATTACCAGGTTGTTAAGATGATCATAACTAAGACAGAATCACATGTACCTCAACAAGGGGAAGCAGGGATGCCACACTCAAATCCTGAAAAACTGATGTTGGCAAGAGGTGGCACAGTGTTCTTAGGGAACATAAGAGACATAAGAGATCTGCTTTAATATGCACACCTATGTATGTCTCTACATCAGGGTTTTCTGGTACTTGAGGTACTTGCAGTAGTACACTAGTGTGGAGCAGCATTGTAGCTGGGAACTACTAAACTGTTCACATCCTCAAGAAGTCTAGACAGCATTTCTCCTACTCTAGTTCAGTAGTCTCTTGTGGAGAAGAAACAGTGCTAGCTAGTATTATTTTAATAGCCCCAAAGCTAGAAATTCCCCAAGGGGATAAACTGTGGTCTACTAACACATGGAATATTATGGATGAATAATATGGATGAATCCCACAAAGAATGCTGAGCAAATAAGCCAATAATAATTATACACATCATAGTTTCATTTATATTAAAAAACAAAAACCCAGCTATGATTGATGCTCATAGAAGTCAGGGCAGTAGTCTTCCCCATTCCCCCATTTTTTCAGTAGTTAGTCTTGAGTGGGTAGAGAGTACTGGTTAAGGAAAGCAGCAGTGTGGGAGGATGTTTGGGCACTGTTAATATTCTGATTCCTGGGTTACAAAGACAATTATGACGTGTATTTTCCTATATGTACATACTTTAAACAGTGCTACCTAATAATTTCATGAAAAAAGAAAAAAGTCAGTTTCATATCAGAACATAAACACCCAAATAGTGTTAACATGGTGAGCTTTTCAGGTAATGGGCTTGCAGATGATTTTTTTTCTTCTTTTCCTTTCCTTTTTGAAGGCTGAAGTGAGAGCATCACAAATTCAAGGTCAGATTCAGCAAAGGGAGGCCCCAGGCAAAATAAAATAATTAAAAAAAAAAAAAATAAATAAAAGTGTTGGGGATGTAGTTCAGTGGTAAAGTACCCCAGGTTCAATCCCTAGCATTAAAACAAAACAAATAAAACCCCATATTTCCCCCCCTTTTAAGCTGCTTTTATGATAGGAAAAAAAACCTGTATCTAATTCTATTTTATAAACTACGGTTTCCAATGCTCCACATATTTGTGGAGACAAAGAAACACTATCAATACTGGGGAATACAGCAAGGGAGAGGCTTTCCCCAATTAACCCAGAAAGAGAGAATTTACAAAATCTTTCAGCACAAGCGAAATCCTGCATTGCAATGTTGAGATTAGCATTCTCATCAACAACCCTGTGTGAGGCTGACACCCAAGGATTATCTGCATTAGGTGAGTATTAGGATTACAGAAGTACACTCCAGACACTTAGCAAACACACTCCTTCCTCTGTACTGGAGTGACTAAAAACCATTCACTGGAATTCATTAGAATCTCACATGGTCCTAGCCTCCTCAGAGCCCGATCAATTTTGGCATTTTTCATCTCCAGACTACTGTAGTCTGGAGAAGGCAAAACTTTCTGGGCCATGAGCTCCCTTGCTGGCTGCTCTCAGTGGTTTCTGTGCCACTAAGCTGAGTGACTATGAGTCACTTGTAAGAAAGACTCAGTATTGAACTAAAATATGCTTCATCCTCAAAGAGCTGCTTTGTTTCCCTATAAACCACAACATGGTTTATATTTTAAAGCATTTCCTTAAAAACCAACATTATGACCTGAAATTAGACTCTGGTTTATTTTGATATGTTTATGACTTAAACCTGGAAAAAAAAATATCTATCTATATCTATATCTATATATATATATTTATTTATTTATTTTAATCAGTCAGCCAAGTTCATTACATATGAACTGAGCTGGAACTTTAAGGACACCCATACCACAGGCTGATAGCTCTGCACCATTACGGAGAACAAAAAAATCACATTAGATTCATTTTCCCATCTTGTGCTCTTAGGATCCAAATTTTCAAAACCACTGACTCTGAAAACAGGTTAAGAACCTTTGCATTGGGCTGGGGTTGTAGCTCAGTGGTAAAGTGCTTGCCAAGTGTGTAAGGCACTGGGTTCGATTTTTAACACAGCACATAAATAAATAAAATAAAGGTCCATGGACAACTAAAAAGAAAAAACAAACAAACAAACAAACAAAAAACCACACACACACAAAGAAACAAACGAAACCCCTGTATGTTGCTCCTCAGAAGGCTGAGCCTGTTCCCATCAGACCAGTGCTTTAATCATGTACCTCTCTTCCCAGTGCAAACACCAATAGCTAGCTAGCTAGCTGGCTGGCTGGCTGGCTGCTGCTGGCCACCAAGCTTCTGCGCTCTCTCTCACTTTCCTTAATTGACTAACTCCTAATCAGATGACACCTCTTCCAAGAAGCTGTGGCCAACTTAGGAGAGGCTGAGACAGCCTACTTAGCAGTTTCCCATTTAGCATCCTCGAATCCAGAGGATAATGGCAATCTACCTTATTCTCCAAGTTTGATTCCAACTGGTCTAATATTTGTCAATGTTTACTTGTGTGTGTGTTGTTGGAATTGAACTCATGGGCTTGCAAGTACAAGGCAAGTGCTCGACCACTGAGCTGTATATATCCCCAGCCCTTGTCTGCTTTTAAAAATATAGTAATAACAGGCAAACCGAGCAAACTGGTGACATCTGAGCTCCTATAGGAAGAGATCATGCACTCTGATTACCTTATAACATGACACTCCCCATCACAATTTAAATCAGTTTCATCTCTAGAGCAGGGAACTCCTACAACACATGAAGTCCAGACATGATTAGCTATAAAGAGTGAAATCAGAAAATTTAATCATTCTCAGGAAAAGAAGAGGTTGCTTCTCAGCATATGCAGTGAGTACAGGGGTCCTACAGGAGCAGCTTCTCTGATAAGCAGATAACCCAGAGAGACAGGGCTAAAAGCCACGTTAAATTAAGAGAGACAACACACATTCATTTCCTTTGTTTATGTGAAGAATAAACAACGAGGACTTAGTCTTTGAAGCAGACAAACCTTGAGGGAAACTTCAGTCTCACCCTCTCCTCCATATTCTATCTTACAGAAACATCCCCACCTCCTCTTCTAATTAGTCCTTCCCTGTCCTCAGTCCCAGTCCCAACCTGGATACTGGAGTTTTCAAAACTTGGGGAAAAGGATATGAAATTCTTGTGGTAACTCTACCAAGGCACTAGATCAGTCAATTATGATGTTCTTCTCCCCAAACCTGGCTGATCAGAACTACCTATGTGGCTTTATAGTACCTTATTGGCTTAGTTTTTTCATGTCACAATCTTTAACTCAGGAGTGTCTTATACACAGAAAAGGAAGAAAAGAACTTTTAGCTTTCCTTATATATCTATAATAATAAAAAATAAATCTCAAGAAACAAAAGTTAGAAATTGATTTAGTTATTATAGAATATAAACATTATCATAACTCTAATCACACATACATTTACATGTATATTTTTTGTGGTGCTAGATATGGAACCCAGGCTTTGTTCCTCCAACCTTATTAAAAGATGCTTTTCATTATATTTAATTTATATTGGAAGAGAATGTTACTATTTAAGAGAAAGAACTTTGACAAACGTTTTTTATTGAACAGTTTTATTCTGTTTTAGAATAAAAACCTTGCTTTAATATTGTAAGGTGCACTGCAGGTACGCCATGCTGCCAGTTACTTTTGGGACAACAAATGTCCCAGTCAATGACCCAGAGAGCTGGGAAAAACGAGTGAACTCATACTTTCAGAGTGTGTAGAACTGGTATTTACAAGGTTTTCTTCTTGAAATTGGCCTGGGACTTCTCAGTCTACACAGGTATTGCCACAGCACTTGCTTTGATGCTCGAATGCCTCAGAAATACGTTCATTATCATGATTTGTGGGTCCTCCAAAAGGTTTAGTTGTTAACATGCAAGCAAATAGTACTAAACAATATTATCTAAACTATGGCTGCCAAGTACTGGATCTTAATAATGAAATCAAATTACAAAACATTTCCTTGTAGAGCTATACAAAAGATACAAAATTAAAATAAAAATATCAACCATCTTTAAATATTCCAATTCTCCTACAGTGCAGTTTTCCACATCTTTATCACTTCTGAATGTTTTAAGGAGAAAGTTAACAAAAATCAAAGTAGATAAAAATATTTAAATCTTTGGATCCCTTTATTCCATGGCCTTCATAAAAACACAAAAGTGGCCAGATTTTTTTCCACTATAGCTTAAAATATCAAAAAGATTTATTAGTAATTTATAATTAGCAATGAACTCTATACTGAGTCATCTGTGGGTCACAGGCCCAATGTTAATAATAATGTGTTACAAGTTTTCAAAATAATTTCGAACATTCTGAATCCTCTTGAAATATAATGGAATGCGTCAATGTTATCACAACAAAACTCCAGGCATATCAGGAAAAACAAGTTAACTGATGCCTAGTTTTAAAAGTCTTAAAAAAGGGGGATGATTACTTATTTGAAAATACAGCTAAGTACATTCTTATCTATGATTATTTACATTCATATACTGAAAATATTATTTGGAGAAATCCTGTGATATGCCATTTGCTACAAAATGAAGTTTTTACATTGAGCATGAAGAATTTATCCTTTTTAGATAATGGAAGAATGTATCAAATCTTCATTTCTGTTCCAAACATTAAAAAATAAATCAAAAATATTAAGCCTGGAAAGACAAGGGAAAAAAAGACCCACCCATAACTCTGTTCCTCAGCACATCAACTTCTGCAAGGACACAGTATGTTTGCTGACTTTAAAATGTTTATTCTTTAAAAAATTAGTTGCTTTTTATACAGCTATACAAAGTTCTTAATGTTTCTTTGGCAATGGAATATAATGGAATTTTACAACTATATAAAAAAGTTACCTTTGCCTAAGAAACAGTATTTACTGTGTGTACATAGTTGACTGACAAAATTCTCTACCATCCAGCACCCTAATTGACGAAATAAGCTACCTCATATTATAGGATTTCCAAAAAGAAAGAGGAAGATAAAGACACACACGCGCGCACACACACACACATACACACACAACCTTCTGTGGCTCAAAACACAGTATCACGGCCTTATCTGCAGGCAACTTGCAATAATTGCCAAATACAATTTAGTGATAAGAAAAATCCTTTCAGTGATGAAAAAATACTTATAAGTCCATTGAAGTACTGCTTTAGTTTAACTATACATAAGAAATTACTTAACCCTTCTGCTATTCCAAATATATTTAGTGCTCATTTTTTAAGATGAGCCTTCCTCCCCCCAAAAGTAACTGCATTGTATCTTTGAAATTAAGCAGAAAAATAAACAAACAAACAAAACCCAGTGCTGGTGACAAATATACAGCAAATTCACTTCTTCATTCTTCACAAAGACTGAAACCAATTTTCAGGACCATGAAGAGCTAGAAATTCACCTATTTTCAAAGACTTGCTTGTAGACTATGCAGCAACTTTGTTGTCTTTCTAAAAAGGTGGGGGAAAAACAACCCAATTAGTCAATGCTCCAAAATTACTGGTTTATTAATGAGTCTTGTCTTTCTTTTTCATTTGCTTCAGTTTATTTAAAAAAACTTTTTTTGGTAGTTGTAGATGGACAGAATGCCTTTATTTTATTTGTTTATTTTTATATGGTGCTGACAGATTGAACCCAGTGCCTTACCCATGCTAGGCAAGTGCTCTGCCACTGACCTATAGCCCCAGCCCACTTTAGTGTATTTTAAGTTACCTCTAAATACACCCTTCCTTTTACTTTCATGGAAACTGATTTCCAGGAAACATTTTTCATAACTTCCACACTAAGTAGAAGCATATTATGTATTTAACAAAATTTTCAGTCAGCACAGGTTAAAGCAGTGTTATTTTGGGCTGGGTGTGGCAAAAAGCCACCCTAGATATAGGTATACCCCACTATCTTTGGTTGCCCAACTTAGTAATCAAATTCTTCAAATATAACTGACAACTCTTTTAAAATACGCTTCATAAAACTGTGGAGTCTTTGAAAAGTCTTTATTAAGCAATAAAATACTGAGACAGTAAAATAACATTTCCTGCTGGGCTTGGTAGCACACACCTGTAATCCCGGTGGCTTGGGAGGATGAGGCAGGAGGATCAGGAGTTCAAAGCCTGCCTAACCAATTTAGCAAGGTGCTAAGCAACTCAGTGAGACCCTGTCTCTAAATAAAATACAAAAAAAAAAAAAAAGGGGGGGGGGATGGGGATGTGGTTCAGGGGTTAAGTGCCCCTGAGTTCAATCCCCAGTACCGGGGAGGGGGTGGTAGTGGTAGTGGGGGGGTTGGGTGGGGGGTGGCAGGGGGAAACTCTTCAAAATGTCACGTTAAGGGAAAGCAATAATTCAGAAATCTATTTGTGGTGTGTGTGTACGTGCATGTGCATGCACACTCTCTAAAAATGGAACCCAGGGGTGCTCTACTGCTGAAGTTAAATCTCCAGTCCTTTTTAATTGTTATTTTGAGACAGGGTCTTGCTAAATTGCTGAGGCTGGTCTCAAACTTCTGATCCTTCTGCCTTAGCCTCCCAAGTTGCTGGGATTACAGGCATGTACCACTGTGCCTGGCTAGAAATCAATTTTAAAAAACAACTCACAAGGGGCTGGGATTGTGGCTCAGAGCGCGCTCGCCTAGCATGTGCCTAGTGAGGCACTGGGTTCGATCCTCAGCACCACATAAATATATAAATAAAGACATTGGATCCACCTATAACTAAAAAATAAATATTAAAAAAATAGATAAAAACCCCACAAATCAGAAGTTAGTTATGAAAAACAGAGTTGATGGGAAATTAAAAATAAAATGTAATCAAGTGAGAAAGCAATAAAAATTTAAATGAGCCTCCCAGTGAGACTAATTCTAAACTAAAGGCAGAGTCAGGGCTTCTATTTGCCTCCAAACTAGCTGCTACTATGTACACACAGTTGGCCCTCCATATCCCTGGTTCTTTATATGCAGATTCAACCAACTGTGGATAGAAACTATGGAGGGGATTCCATTAGTACTAAAACATATGAGAGGACATGTACAGGTTATATGTGAATACTATGCTACCTTACTTAAGGGACTAGAGCATCCACAAATTTTGGTATTTTCGGGGGTCCTGAAACCAATCCTACGTGGACACCCAGTAATGACTATATCTGATTTTTACTGCTAATTCTTTTTTTTTTTTTTGGTACCGGGGAATGAACTCAGGGGCACTCTACCACTGAGCCACACCCCCAGCCCTATTTTGTATTTTATGTAGAGACAAGGTCTCACTGAGTTATTTAGTGCCTTGCTTTTTGCTGAGGCTGGCTTTGAATTTGTGATCCTATTGTCTAAGCCTCCTGAGCTGCTGGGATCACAGGCATGTGCCACTGCACCTGGCTTTCTGATTCTTACTCAAATTTAGAAACAGGGTGAAATACTTAATTTCATCTATGTTATACAGCAACATTTGTTCAATGTTATTTGTACAGTATTATTAAATTGAATTATATGTGGCATAGTACAATGTTGTAAAGAAATAAATGAGCTAAAGATGAACCCACTGTCCCCCACCAAAGCCAACCATAACATCTCCCAATTTATTTAATTGTTTTTTTACCTTTCAGAAAGCAGTACGACCAATCCAGACCTTTTAGGGTCCAAAAGCTGTGGTTTTCTGAAAGGTAAAAAAAAAAAAGAAAAAAGAAAAAAGAAAAAGAAAAGATACAAGGAGAAAGAAAAAAAAAAAGGGGGTGTAGTGGAGGAAGGAAGGGGAGAGGAGAAAATAATAGGGGGACAAAGGGAGAAAGTACCATGGTGTCATTTCAAATACCTTATGGTCTCTGGATCTTGTGAAGAAACAGAGACTGAAGTGCATAGTTTCACCCACCCACTGTGGAGGCTTAACCTCCTTGGCAGCAGCATATAAAATAGGGGCTGGCTACATTCTTATTATTACCCCCAATCCTAATCTGCTCCTGCCACTGCCCCTTCCATCCCCTCCCCCCAAATAAAGGGGGTGGCGGGGAAAGACACCAGGCATCACAGGATCAGAAGTTTTAAAACATTTCAGTTAGGGAAAAATGGGCCAGAAGTCAATGTAACAAGTTTTGGCTTTATAAGTTTGTACCTAGATCAATAACCTCTTAGGGTCCTTAGTTTCCTAACCATCTAATAGTCTGGCTGATTCTTTTAAGCCATCTAAAAAATCTATGATCCAATCTTTACTTACGTTTTCATTAAACAATCAAGTTTGTCTGCTCACCCCAAAAGTGCAATGATTCATATCAACACAGCACAAGGAACAAAGCTAATTCATTTCATGAAGGCTGCTGAGAAGGCACCTCTGGGAAGAAACACTAGTTGATGTTTCAGGAATGATTTTATCCTTAAAGGTAAATCTCCTTTATGTAATCACTCACTGTTTCCAACCTTTAAAGATGCCAAGAAGATACGATTTAGAAGGTGTAGGTTACTGAAGTTAGGAATATAAGGGTGGATCCATAGGTCATTCAACTCTGGAATGCACAAGGGCTACCCACAATGTTGGAACTTCAGCTTTGATACTGATAAGCACTAACTTCAAGGCAACCAAGGCTATGTGCTGAGATAGGTGTTTTGGTGGGGAAAAAGGAGAAAACAATCTTTAATGCCAGAGGCTCCATCTAGCTGGCAATGCAGAACAAAAATAAATAAAAAAATAAAATAAAATATATGAAGTAGGGAACAATGAATGTATTAAAAATGCATACTAAGAAGTGAAAGGAGGTGCCTGAATTTTACCTATGCCTGTATCCCCACTGAACTGTAAATACCAAGAAAACTGGGACAGATATATCTGTTTGTTATCACCAGTGTCCAGCATAGTACTTGGCATATGTGAAAAATTCTGTAAAATTGGTAAATGAATGAGGTTACTAGAATTGGAATCAAGCTGTATATAATAGATGACCACAAACCAGCCTGCTTGAGGCAGACAGATTAAAGGGTAATGAGAAATAGGGCTGGTATATCAAGTGGAGACCCTCACAGAGTAAGAAAAGCAGGCAGTACATTAGAGCCTTTTAGCTTTCAAGGCAATGCCTCAGGGTTACTAGCACTCCTTGAAATTCTCAAGCAGGGGCTGAACTATCTGTGAGGAATAAAGACTCATGCAGATAAGTTCTACAATGCATTTGAATGCTGCAATAGCACGATTAAGATTTTTAAACAAAAGACTCAAAATGACTATACAATATGATATGGCTTGAGAAAAAAATGTTTGCATATGCCTACAATCCCAGCGACTTGGGAAACTGAGGCAGAATAGCAGTTTCAAGGCCAGCCTCAGCAACTTAGTGAGACCCCGCCTCAAAATAAAAACTAAAAAGGGCTAGGCTAGGGACATGGCTCAGTGGTTAAGCACCCCTGGGTTCAATCCCCGACACCAAAATAAATAAATAAATAATAAAATAAATATTTGTATTAACAAGTGCACAGCATGTACATGGCTTTAGGTCAATGAAGGTTTGTTGATTGAGTACTCATAGAAAGAGACATAATTGTTTGGTCATACAAAGCAAACATGACAGCTGTTTTTTCAAATATCTGAAAAACCTGCATTAAGTACGTTACATGTTTTGTACAAGGATAGAGTTTCACCAAAAAGCTGAAGATAAAGGCAAAGTGATTTCCACTCAAACTGTGTATGTCTCTGAGAACCTAACAACTAGGGTATTTCTGGGGTGAGGTGGGCATCCTGATAAGAGTCACTACCGAAGAGGCTTATGTTTTGGTCAGGTGGTCAGATCTCAGATGTTTTCCAACTCTGAGAGTTTAATCATTACTTTAAAAGTATGTTTTATGTTAACTAAAACATAACTTCTTTCCACAAATTTCAAAATTGGTAGTCTGGATGGTTTAGTAAACTCAAATGAGATCATACCAGCAACAATTACTATAATTCTCATCTGGATCCAATGCTAATTTAAACATACTTTTTCTCAAACCAAGTTAACTCAGCATAATCTTCAACAAGGAGTTGCTGTTGGTTCTTCAAAAAGTAAATGAAGTGGGATAAAGAGACTGAAGATATGAAGATCCATCAGTGGGTTGTCATGATAACTGGCAGGGACATCTCAAAGGTATGAATGTGGTGACATGAAAATTGATCATAATATGGATACCTTCACTGTGTGGATAGTATCTTTGCCAAGAGTCAAAATGTAACTCTGGGAGAAGGCAGAGCTGAGATGACTGGAGAGTGAAAAGATGATTAAGGTCAGTCTGACGAAGGTTGACAGGATATAAAGCAAGCAACGACAGAAATGCAGGGCAGAAACATACAAGGTCCAAGCTGAAGAAGTGATTACAAACTATGAGTGGATGAGTTTACAAAAGGGGGAGGGGAGTGAGGAGTGAGAGAGTGGTCAAGCAAAGGTGAAAGAGTGTGAACATGAGCATGAATGCTCACAAGAAAAGCACACTGAACAGAAGAAATGGGTAAAAATGTCCCAAGATAGGAATAAGTTGGCAGCTAACAAGAGTAAGAAAGCCCACCTATCTGCTGCAGAGTAAATGAAGGAAAGATCTGTCCCACTGGCCACAAAGATAAGAGCCAACACTGGACATCTGACCTGGAGAAACAGATCACGAAGCACTTAATAGGCTGTTAAAGAGCACTTTTTTTCCTTTTGTTTTGTTTGTGTTTTAAACAAAAAACAAGTGTATTAAAGAATTAGGGGGCTGGGGATGTGGCTCAAGCGGTAGCGTGCTCGACTGGCATGCGTGCGGCCTGGGTTCGATCCTCAGCACCACATACAAACAAAGATGTTGTGTCCGCCGAGAACTAAATAAATAAATAAATAAAGATTCTCTCGCTCTCTCTCTTTAAAAAAAAAAAAAAAAAAAAAAAAAAAAAGAATTAGGAAGATCCTAAGTTGAGGGGGTGATCATCAGTGTCAAATATTGCAAAGATGTTAAAAGGCAAATATTTATGAAAAAGTGACTGAATTCTAGAAGCAAGGGATTGCTGACAACCTTGAGAACAATAAAAGTGAGAAGGAAGAGTCATTCATAGTTTCTAAGCAGATTCTCTTAGCTGGGATGAAGATTTTCCAACTGCATCACCCACTGGGGCTAGATAGTGTGAGAGAATAACTTGAGGCTAATTAACAGACATGAAAACTAACAGACCAGATCCCAAAGCTATTGTTCTTCTTCTAGAGAGATCAACAGTGACCAGTTTTAAATATTGGACAATAAAATTCCAGCCAGCATGTCTTTCTGTTTCCAGCTTTCCTCTGCTATTCTAGTAGACTTTTAAGGTATATAGACCTTATATTTTGAACTGCTCTATTTTTCTCCTCCACTACTCCTAAAATTAATGAACTAGAATAGTTTATGGGGACTAGGACAGTTACTATGCTGCCTTAATTTACAAATGCCTTTCAGTAGACAAGTTATATACATAAACATATTATATAGAGTTACAGAATTTTCTCATATCACAAAATTTTCAAGACTACAGCAAATAAGAAAACCAGATAAAATGTAGTGTTTTCCACAAAATTAAATTAAGAAAACTGATTCAAGAACCTATTGCTAGGTTCAACACTCAGCATCATTATTTACAAGCTGTGTGACCATGAGCAAGTTATTATCTCTATATCTATTTCCTCAGTTGTAAAACGAGGATGATAATAGAATCTACATCACAGAGTTGATGTGAGATTTAAATAATATGTGAAAAACGTTTAGAACAATGACTGGTACTTGTTAATGACTATATAATATGAAATAAATATCCTTTTCTTGTACAATGTGTCTGATCCTTCCAATGTTTGTTTGGTTTTTCTTTTCTTTTTTTGGTACCGGGAATTGAATGGCACCACACCCAGCCTTCCTATGCTTTCTTAAAAAACAAACAAACAAACAAAAAAACAGGCATGATGGTGATTACCTGTTAATCCCAGTGGCTCGGGAGGCTGAAGGAGGAGGATCATGAGTTTAAAGCCAGCCTGAGCAACTTAGCAAGATCTGTCTCTAAATATAAAATAAAGGGCTGGGGATATGCCTCAGTGGTGAAGCACCCCTAGGTTCAATCTCCAGTACCAAAAAAAAAAAAAAAAGCCCTGACTCAGTCTATAACAGGTTTGTGATAGGTTGATAGGTTTTTAAAAATTTTACTGGTCCAAAAAATCTAAAACCATGCTTCTAAAATAAATAGTAAATAATCACATATCCATCTCTTAACTTCACTTGAAAAGAGCACAGCTTAAAAAAATTTTTCTTGATTCCTTAGACAAGAAGTTATTGTCCTTAAGATTATATAAACATCCTAATCAGGCATATTCTCCACTGAATTATAACTAGGTTATTCTAATGCTCTCAAAAATATTTACCCAAAATATATAAAATAAAAAACATTAATGCCAATCCTATAGTATATAATCATAATCATACTTACCCTATATTCGAAATCTGCAAACTCCCTGCCCCCACGACCTCCTCTGAATCCACCACGAAATCCTCGAGGGGTAGTAAATGTACCACCTCTGCCACCACCACGCCCTCTGCCACCACGGAAACCAAGACCTCCTCTGCCTCGGTACCCTCCACGACCACGGTTTGGACGAAGTGGAATCCCAAATGTTTCAGCATTTAATCTTCTTTCTTCAGCCCAGGTTGGTCTTCGTTCTCTATTATAAAAGCAAATGGCCTTTAGCATACCAGGTATAAAAAAAAACATTTTTCAGCAAAAATACATAGCATTAACTCCCAAATTAAGGCCAAGTGATTCCTAAGGATCAATTAAAAGTAAGCATTTAAACTAAGTAGTCCACAGCATATAAATTTAATATTTTCCTATAATATTTGGTTACATTTCATGTGAACATTCTTACAAATATAGCTGATAAAACAAAGATGACAAAGGCACAAATATAATGGTAATCAGATATAATGGGATTTGCAATTGATTCAACTAAGTACTAACGGAAAAGAGGCAAAGCCAGGCAGGCAAACCTTGTCTTGAGGAAGCTAGGAGATGGAGGGTAGTTTCTTGAATCTCCAGTATGTTCCCAGACCAATCTCTGGATTTCATGCCAATTAACGTAGTTAAACGTCTAACCCGTAGCTGTCATCCACTCTAGATAACTGCAGTGCCCAGAAGAATCAGCCTCCCTATCCATTTTTAAATTGAAGTAAGCAACTACCAGCAGATGGTGCCAAACTGCAGCGAGGACAAAACTCTGAGTTCTGGATCCAAAGTCCTTTTACCTCACAATAATTGGACAATTTTCTAGACCCACATTTACTACAATAGAGTTTAACTGTACTGGTAAACTTCAAGAAACACTAATTGTTTTGGTACTGGCTTCATGTGAAGTACAGTGTAGTGGGGTAAAGGAAAAGATTATGTATGTACATATGTATGCATTTTTGTAGTAGTGGGCATTGAATGCAGTGAGCTCTACCACTGAGCTACATCCTTGGTCCTTTTTAATTTGGGACAAGATCTCACTAAATCGCTCAAGCTGCCCTTGATCTGACTTGTAATCCTCCTGCCTCAGCCTCCTGAGAAGTTGGAATTATAGGTGTATGCCTCTATACCCAGCTTAAAAGGTTAATTTAGATGTTAAAAGAATGCTTCTGTTTTAATTAGTAATATCCAAATGTGACAGCATCCCTAAACAAAAGTATATCGTCATTACTTCCTTTCACAGAACATTATTTAAAACTTTAGTATATAGAACGTTCTTTTTTTTTTTTTTTTTTTTTTGCACCAGGATATGAACCCAGAGGCACTTAACCACTGAGCCATATCCCCAGCCCATTTCATTTTTTTATTTTGAGGCAGGGTTTCTTTAAATTGCTCAGGGTTTCACTAAGTTGCTGAGGCTGGCTTTGAACCTACAATCCTCTTGCCTCAGCTTCCTGTGCAATACAGGTGTGCAACGCTATGCCCAGCAGCATTTTCTTTTAATAAAATTAAACATTAAAAAAAAAAAAATTTCAAGGGGCTAGGGTTGTGGCTCAGCAAGAGAGCTTGCCTTGCACATGTGAGGCACTGGGTTCAATCCTCAGCACTACATAAGAATAAATAAAAACAAAAATAAAAAAAAAAATCAATTATGAGCCAGGTGCAGTGTTGCATGCCTATAATTCTAGTGACTTGGAAGGCTGAGGCAGGAAGACAGCAAGTTCACAGCCAACCTCAGAAACTTCATGAGGTCCTAAGCAACTTAGCAAGACCCTGTCTCAAAATAAAATATAAAAAAGTTGCCAAGCGAGATGGTGCATGCCTGTAATCCCAGCAACTTGGGAGGCTGAGGCAAGAGGATGGTGAGTTCAAAGTCAGCCTCAGCAATAGCGAGGCACTAAGCAACTCAGTGAGACCCTGTCTCTAAATAAAATATACAATAGGGCTGGGGATGTGACTCAGTGGTCAAGTGCCCCTGAGTTCAATTCCTAGCACCCAAAAACAAACAAAGTAAGTAAGTAAAAGTCTGGGAGTGTGGCTCAGCGGTTATGTACCCCTGGCTTCAATTCCTAGTACCAAAACAAAACAATTTCCCCATGGGGCTGGGGTTGTGGCTCAGCAGTAGAGCGCATGCCTAGCACATGAAAGGCCCTGGGTTCGATCCTCAGCACCACATAAAAATAAATAATAAACAAAATAAAGGTATTGTGTCCACCCTACCACTAAAAACAACAACAAAAAATTAAACAACAAAAAACCCACAACAATCGCCTCATAAATTGTGATCTTTTTTAGGTATACATTAAACATTGTAAATTTATAAGAAAACATTTTCTACTTCAACATCATAAAAGTATAAAAATATAAGAACATTTAAAGGACTATACCTATTATCATCACATGAAATATTATCAAAGAAGGACTTGGTTTTGTCATAATAGCAATTAGGTCCAAGTGGATCTTCTTCATCAGCATTTCCTTCACTGTTTTGAGTATCAACTCCCGAGTCTCCTTTATCTTCACCATTTACAGGCTTCTCTTGTTTCTCAAGTTTATCTTCTAATGAAAAACAAATACATACCATACAAATCAAGACTTGTACTAAATAAAACACTGAATCTGGAAAACATCCTTAATCCCCAATAAATAATTTCCTGAATAGAAAAACTAAAGCTTACCTTTTAATTTAAGTTTATTATGAAACTCTCTGTCAATCTCCTCCTTGTTAAATTGTGCATTTGCACTTTCAAAGTCAAAGTCTTTCTCAAATTTCATTGGACCATCCCGCCGAATACCAAATCTTCCCCTGCCACCTCGATGACCTCCTCGCCCTCTCCTTGGAGCTGAGGAAGCACCTGGAACTATGTTAATAAAAAACATATACAAAGGACAATAAGTAGGTCATAGTTAATTTAAGACTGAAGTTGCTACTGTCGTCTTTATGGTCTAAATGATCAACAATAGAAATATTTATAAGTCTCTACGTATATTACTATATTTGTATTTTTCCTATTAAAAATTTTTACTAAAGTTTAATGCACAGAGGAAGAATGGCATACATATCTGCCAAACATACGAAGAGCTATTAACCTAGTAGGTTCTCAAAACTTAAAACCTTTTATGAAAAGTGCAACAGAAAACAAGATGTACAGTAGGAAAAATAAACAAGCACTAATCAGCACACACTGCTAAAGTAAGAGATGTTAATTCTACAACACAGATAAAACAGACAAGAAGCACTAGTTCTCTTTGTTCCGAACACTTTCCATTTCATTTTGCTATCTTCCTCCTCTAACTGGCTCCACATTACTCAAGCCTTACTGTTTCTTAAAAAAAAAAAAAAAATCATTTTTTTTAAGACGTAGTTGGACACAATACCATTTACCTACCTACCTATTTATTTATTTTAATGAGGTATTGAGGATCGAACCTAGGGCCTCACATATGTTAGATGAGCACTCTATCACTGAGCCACAACCCCAGCGCAAGCCTCACTGTTTCTATATATTCTCTCTTTATAATTTTGGGCAATCACATGAGATATGATAGATAATAAACAATACAAGGAGCTGGGGTTGTGGCTCAGTAGTACAGTGCTTGCCTAGAATGTATAAGACACTGGGTTCGATTCTCAGCACCACATAAAAATAAATAAAGGTCCACCAACACTAATAAAATATTTTAAAAAATAAACAAATACAAGGTAGTATAATCTACTGAGGAAACTTGAGAGAAACAACACAAGAAGAAAAAAAAAATAGAGGAATATGGAATAGCGTTTGACACAAATTAACTAAAAAATGCAGAGAACAAAGCAGTATGAAGTTGATAATTATGAGAAAAGTTCAATAAACAGTAACAAAGGTCAGAAGTGCCTAAAGGCGATAGTTGTTGTGGTGCATGCGTGTAATCCCAGTAGCTCTGAAGGCTGAGGTAGGGGGATCACAAGTTCAAAGCCAGCCTCAGCAATTTAGTGAGGCCCCAAGCAACTTGGCGACACCCTGTCTCTAAATAAAATATAAAAAAGGGCTGAGGATGTGGCTCAGTGATAAAGTGCCCCCAGTTCAGTCCATGGTACCAAAAGAAGGAGTGACTAAAGGGTGAAAGGTAGGCTTGTGTTCATGTTGAGGTTTGGCAAAGTGCCTGGATTTGAAAAACCAAACCACAAAACCCCACGGCAGCATAACCAGATGCTTCTTATATCTAGATAAGCAGGATTTTAAAAAACATTTAACTTTACTATTAAAAATGACTTGGCCACATACCAGGAAGTATGGCAAATCCATTAAAAAAAAAAAAAAAGTTTTGGGCCTGGGATATATATAGCTCAGTTGGCAGAGTGCTTTCCTTGCATGCACAAGGCCCTGGGTTCAATCCCCAGCACCATATATACACATACACACAATTTAATCAGAGCTGGGATTGTGGCTCAGTGGTAGAGCACTCCCCTAGTATATGTGAGGCCCTGGGTTCGATCCTCAGTACCACATAAAAATAAATAAAATAAACGTATTGTGTCCAACCACAACTAAAATAAATAAATATCTAAAAAATGTTCTGGTCATAATGTCTATAAAACCTAAAAAAATGAATTCCAGTGAAGGGGAAGAGTGATGAATTTTGAAGTCAATGAAAGATACTTTCAGAGAAGAGTCTGTCTCTTTTACCAAATTAAAAAAAGAAAAAAGAAAAGAAAAATAAAAATACAGTAAATCAAACCAAAACCTATGAATTCCACGGCTCATAGCACAAAAATGTACAGAGCTGGGTATAGTCCTAGTTTCTTAGGAGGCTGATGCAGGAGGATCCATTGAGGCATTCAAGGCCAAGCCTGGGCAACACTGTAAGCACCCATTTCAAAAATGTACAAGAGAAATGAGAAAGTGTTTACACACATACACAAAATTATACCTATGTTTCTAAAATTTAGAAAATTACTTATTTCCCATTATGTAAATAAGATGATTATACTTTTTTAATTTGGAAGAGTTTTAAATTATAATCTAATTTCCATTAGTGAATTTGAAATTAGTAATACAATGGATGCTTTTGGGAAGGTATGGATTAGAAAATAAGTAAAAAAACAAACTAACAAAAAACCAGAACCATGCCCAAATCCTATTAGTAGGTGATATTCAGAACTATTATTGAGTATTCACACCCCGCCTGGCCAAAGAGTATATTTGATTTTAACTATTCTTCATTTTAAAATAATTATAGACATATGGAAGAAAAAAAAAAGTGCAGACTTTTTTTTAATATATACCGTTATACCCATCACCTAGCTTCTCAATGGTAATACTTACACAACTACTGTACATTATCAAAACCAGGAAAGTGCCACTGGCACAATATAATTAGCTTATGTACAGACCTTATTCAGATACCACAAGTTTTTGATGTTCTTATTTTCTGTTATGTCTTTATATACGTATAGGTCCATGACACTTTACCACATATATAGATATGCATAACCATCACCACAACCAAGATGAAGAACTGTTCTGTCACCACAAAGACACTCTATTGTGGTTAACAATCCTTAACAGTTAACAATCCCCACCTTTCATTTTTTTATAATTATGCATCATACATTTAATTCGCTCTCCCAGTTGAGAAGCATAGGATATAGCTTTCAGGTCCAAGTAACTTACCCACTTGTCTCTTGTTATCATTTCTGAGTTGCTCATTTTCTGGCCTTGAAACTTTGTGTACTTCAGCTATAGAAGGAGACATGCAAAGAGAGAAAAGAACTCAGGACATACAAACAAAAACTTCTGTAAAATTAGAAATGGGGGGAAAACCCACAAAACAAAACCTATGTAGTGCCCAAAAAGTACAGCCACCCCACCACCACTTTGACTCAAATTTGAAGGACTGACCATTCTATTAAGTTCAGTTTAAACCTTCTAGGATTATTCATATAAAAAAAGTAAATCCTCTTAATGAAAATAAGGTGAGGTGAAAATGTTGATCAGTCAATCAAGGAACAGTAAATCAAGCTAAAGTTCTACCTCGCCTGTGCTCTTGGTTCTCTATTGCTTTTTGGCTGGTAGATGGCAAAGGCCTGGTTGATACAGGGCTCCTTCTCCCAACAGGTGCTGGAGCAGGTAAGTGGGCCGAGGCGGTCTGTACTGCTTGTTCCATGGTTGGACTTTTTCTCAAAGGGTCTAACTGAGGGCTTGAACGACCTAAAATGTAACCAAAAGATAAGAATCTACCCTAATCTGGGATTTCAAAATAACCTAGACCTTAAAAAAAAAAAAAAAAAAAAAAAAAAAAATCTAGAGTTTTCTTTTCGTGGAACTGGGGATTGAACACAAGGCCCTGTGAATGTGAGGCAAACACTCTACCACTGAGCTACAGCCCCAGGCACTAGAGTTTTATTTCTAACAATTCAAATTCTTCGCACAAATGTGAACTAATTAAAACTGGTTATCTTTATTGGTCTGGTCATCATTTTTAAATTTTTTTCCTCCTTTTTTTTGGGTACTAGAGACTGAACCAAGGGGTGCTTTGCCACTGAGTTATGCCCCCAGTCTGTCTTATTTTTTGAGGCAGGGTCTTACTAATTTGCTGAGACTGACATTTCAGGCATGTGCCATTAAGCTCAGCAGTCTGATCATTAAAACAGAACAAAACAAAGACCCTTTACACTTCCACAACTTTTATCTGTGTTTCTACCTAGTGAAATAAAGTTTCTCAAAAATTGTTGCTCAATACAAAATTCCTGGGATATCAAAGATCATGCTGAAGGTGGGAAAAATGAAGGCTATGCCAATAATATCCACCACAAGATAATACTGACACATTTAAATGTTTCGTATTTTCTGTAGATGACTAATGCAATACCTCTTCATGAAGTACTACTAAAGAAAGTGAAGTAGGTGTTTTTTATATACCTTATGTATCTGGGCATTAAACATCAAAACTAAAAGGCGAGAAACAAAAATAAACCCTTCAGATAATTACACAGTAGCTATACTAATTCTTTGCCATATTAAAGCTCAAGATATCTTTAAAAGCATGTTTTTACTTTTACATGGGGGTTTGTACTTACAAATGTTTTTCATTTTATGAGGTCAGAACCTAGTCATCGTTTTAACTGAAGAATACAACACTAGGTATTACTATTATGCCTTTTTTTTTTTTTGCCCCTACAGTGTTTGCTATTAGTCTCTGCTCAGGGAACTCTCATATTTCATGATATTATACAATATAATGTTTTACTTAAAAATTATGCTCATTTTATGCAAAAACATTTCCAAGTATGCTACTATGTGTAGGCTCCAAACAAATGGAAAACTGTTGAGCACTGGCAAACACTGGTTAATGTGTACCCAAGATACTTCAGGGACAATTTATTAGTTTACAGTGATGTAAAGTGTGCAATTACAAAAGTGTATCACCATTTCTAGCCATTAATGGCAAAGTCACTTTGGCCAAAAATTTAGATATAGATCATCATGAAAACATTTAAAAATAAAGTTATCATTAATAGAAACACCAGTTTTTCCATTGATCATAATGGGAAATCTTGGTGACTCATATAAGTTTTATCCTATGAGCAACATTTTATATTTTATAATTATTCATAAAACAAAACAATCAAAAAAACAAATAAATAAAATGAAAAGATTCTTTGGAGCTAGGGTCTCATTGTATTGCCCAGGATGGCCTTGAATTCCTGGGTTCAAGTAATCCTCTTGCTTCAACTTCCCAACAGTTGGGACTATAGGTGCTCACCACCATACCTAGCCTGTAAATATTTTTTGAAAGTATTTTGCTATAGTTAATTTTATAACATAAATACAATAACATTTTATATTTATACAATATAGTTAATTTTACTACACTGCAATAAAATATAATTCTATTTTACTACACAAAATGATCTTTTAAAGCTCTTTATTAAACCCTTTCTTTGAGAAAAGATCCCGTCATTCAGAAGCACTAGAGAAGTACATATAATGGGGCAATCAGAGCAAGTAATAAATTAATTTGTTTGTGTTTAAAACATTATTATTTTTTTTTTTTTACAAATATAGTTTAGTAATCATGATGACAGTTTTACTATAAATAGGGTAATGTAGGTAATGTGGGCATAATATAGGAATAAATCCAGAAGATATTGAGTAAAAATAAATAAATACATCCTGTTGTGTCCTCACATTCTCTTTTAAAAAATCCACTTAAAAAAAATGTTTTTTAGTTGTAGACAGATACAATACCTTTATTTTATTTGTTTTTATGTGGTGCTGAGGATCGAACCCAGTGCCTCACACATGCAAGGCAAACGCTCTACCAACTGAGTTACAACCCCAGCCCCATGTGTCCTCCTATTCTTATCACAGTTTAAAGAAAATTCCAAGTGTTTTAATTTTGTGATATTAAGAAATTTCAGTTGGTAAGATTAAAATGGCCACTCTCAGCCCTTCTTTTTAACAATTTTATATAAATATACCTCCAACTTAAATTAATAAAATTGTACCTAAAATTTAACATTTAAATTTATTTTAAAAAAGTTTTTGGGCTGGGGATATGGCTTAGTAGTAGAGTGCTTGCCTGGCATGTGCAAAGCCCTGCGTTCAATCCCTAGTACCTGAAATAACCTCCCACCAAAATCCTCTAAATGATCAGGAAGTACTGTCTGCCCCAACACCATTCACTGGAACAACCAGTTTTTCTCCATAAATTTAAAAATAATAATACTTTTATCATCTCTTAAATTCTTTTTCTTTTTGCTTCCATGTCCTGCTGTTTATGTCCAAGTTTATTTTAAAGACATTTTTTTCTGCTGGGTAAAGTGATATAAGCCTGTAATCTCAGCAACTCAGGAGGAAGAGGCAGGAGGATCAATTTGAGGTTTGAGGCCAGTGTTGGCAGCTTAGCAAGACTCTTAACTCAAAATAAAAATTTAAAAAATGGGAGCTGGGGGTGCTAAGGCTGTGGCTCAGTGGTAGAGCACTTGCCTAGCATGTGTGAGGCACTGGGTTTGATCCTCAACACCACACAAAAGTAAATAAATAAAATAAAGGTATGGCGTCCATCTATAACTAAAAAATTAAAAAGGGGAGAGGGCTGGGGTTGTAGTTCAGTGGCAGAGCGTTCCTAGGTTCACTTAAGCCCCAGCACCCACCCCCAAACCAACCCTACAAAAACAAACAAAAACTTTCTGTTTAAGTTCTTCTACTATTCCACTTGAATAGATTAAAAGTGCAATAAATTTAATTAGAAAGAAGTAAAGTCTTCTCAATACTGAATTTTTCACCAAAGAACAAGATGTTTTTCTCATTATATGTGACTTCTTTTATGTCACTCTGTTACATTTTGCATTTTTCTTCATATAAGTGGATCCATTTCTTATTATGCATCTTATACATAATTTCCTATTTCTTACTGTTGTGAGCCTTTTCTTTAATCCTCATTATATTGTATGAATTAAGTGATTTGGGGGTATTTTACCTCTAATTTAAGTCCCTTCCTATTTCTAAGTTTTTCAGTGAATTCTCAATTCCAAGTAAAAAATTAACATTGACAAATAATGCTAATTTCAATATTTATGTTGCTTTCTTATTGCCTCATATATTCCTTATTTAGCTAAAACTTTTAAAGGCTGAGTAGTAGTGACAGCAGGCATCTGTATTTATTAATAAGAATTCTTCTGGGATTTCTGTGTTAGGTTTGATATTGACTACTGATTAAGATAGCTGATATCTGCTGAGCATGTGCTGTCTGAGGCACTATGTTAAGAGCACTGCAAACATTTTGAAAATTTTGATTCTTACACAAAATGTAAATATTATTCCTGGGTACTAAGTTTATGATTATTTTTATATTTTTCCTTATGTTTATTGTATTTTTATTTCATTGATAACAAAAGTATTAATTCTGTGATTACAGCATCTCTCTCTTTTCTAAAACATTTGTTTTTAGTTGCAGATAAAAACAATACCTTTATTTATTTTGTGTAGTAATGAGGATCGAACCCAGTGCTTCACACGTGCGAGGAGAGCACTCCACTACTGAGCCATAAGTCCAGCCCTGATTACAGCATCTTTCTAAAATAACTTTACATTGCTCTATTAAAGAGTAAACATTCATATGAAGCAATGAACCAATAAATAACCACTTTAGCAATGGATAAAAGCTGACTGAAATCTTGTGACTACTGAAGGTTATGAGACTGGCTGATGGAAAAAGTTTAAAAATAAAACAGGATCTTTTAAGAAGCTTATTAACATGCAGATCCCTGCTCCAGCGATTTTGATGTAGTAGGTCTCAATTAGGACCTACATTTTCCAGAAGTGCTCTAGATGACATTGTTGTGGGTGGTCCACACTGAGAATGACTGCTCTACATCCTATCAGAATGTTAGGGAAGATGCAACAGTACAATGAATAGTTCATTTTTCTCAGTATTTCAAATTTATATAGGCTAGCTCATCTTCAGTGGTAAATCTGGTACTGATTTGATATATGTAAGTGCCATTCACAAATTACATAATTGCTTTAAAAAACACATTAAACATAGAGAATGTTCACCATTCAGTTTGATGATCTAAGAAGTTTTAAGTCTAAATAGTATGTTATTCAATGACACATTAATTACAATACAATAACTAGGAGAAAAAAATTAAAAGAACTAAATAGAAATCATACATGTAATTTACAAACTGCAAAAGCTCAGAGAGAGTAAAAAATCACTATAAAAATTTAGAATGAAAAATATCTGAAGGGGAAAAAAAAAAGACTTACCTTGAGATAACTGTGTTTTTATAGATCTTGTATCCTGTGTAAAGGCAGAACCAACTGCACTACTTTGGGACAAGGTACCACTGTTTGATGTTTCTGTTCCAAAAGATGTCAAGGAGCTTCCAGCTTGAAGATTTTTTTTTTTAAACAACAACAACAACAACAACAAAAAAAACAAGACAAAAATAAAACCTTTCAATTATATAAAATATCATCTTAATGTTGTCTGCTTACTCCATTCTATAACACTTATACAACTTAATAATTCTAAAAATTAAGTGTATAAAATAATTGTTTGAAGCCAGGCATGGTGGTGCATGCCTGTCATCCCAGTGATTTGAGAGGCAGAGGCAGGAGGACCATGAGTTCAAGGCTGGCCTCAGCAACTCAGCAAGGTCATAGGTAACTTGGCAAGTCCCTGACTTGCAAAACAACATATAAGGGGTTGGGAATATGGCTCAGTGGTTAAGCACCCGTGGGTTCAATCTTGACTCCAAAAATAAATAAATAATCACACAAATAAAATAAAACAATAGTTTGGAAAACCATGACAATGTAGGGTGAAAACGTCAATTTAAAGCCCAGGATACTTGGATGCAAACAATTTTTATACACATGTAGAAGGGTCCCAGGTGCACATGCAATAGGAAGGATACACATCAGATAAGAAGTAGCAGTAATGGTACATTTGATACCAACATTAAGTTCAATTATTCTGATACCAAAAAAAAAAAAAAAAAAAAAAAAAAATGGCCAAATTAACAGACTAGAAGCTTCTTCGACATTTCCAAGGCAACAGACAAAAGATCCCAGTTTCAATGCTTCACCTTAAAATGGGATTGTGGAGCTGCATTCTGCTTAAAACAGCTACGTAAAGTTTGGGTAATACAGTCCCTGGAATGGATCCAGTTATCTCCCATGCTTGGTTATGTTAATCCTCTATAAGTTTCTACAGAACTTCTGGATTATTCACTTCTTATATACTGTGTTTTTTCCCCATTTCATATTATTTCAATAGTCCCCATCCTCATCATCTAAACTCAATAAAGATGATAACTAGAATATTTTATAAAATAAAATTAAGAAATATAAATATAATCATATTATTACTGTCAAGATACAAGTTTGAACTACTTATCTCAATTTATAAGGCCCTCCTCTTATATGTCTACCTCTTTTCTGATCACTTTCCTTCTTTTAACCAGTCTAGCCCACAACAGCATGCCCCTTGCAGTCTGTTCATTCCCAGGGTAGGCAACTCCATTCCTTCAACCATTACTAACTTTACATGGTCTTTAAGCTATTCTTCCTTACTGATCCCAATTTAATGAATTCTACTTGTTTATCTCTCTCTTAAAATGGGGCATCAGGACATAGCACAGTATCTCAGAGCCACTAAGACTCCTTTGGAGGTGCACTTCAATTAGGCAGTGCCATTCTAGCCAGGTCAGGAAAAGACCAAACATAAACTCCTACAATATTCCTGGGAATGCTGTGATTAGCACTTTAAAGAATTCTGTGGGGGAGCTGGGCAGTGGTGCATGCCTGTAATTCCAGCAGCTTGGGAGGCTGAGGCAAGGGGATTTCAGAGTTCAAAGCCAGCATTTGCAACTTAGTGAGACCCTATCTCAAAAAGAAAAAAAAGAATAAAAGAAAAAGAAAGAATTCCTTGGGGGATCTGAATTGATCCCATTAGCTCTAGTTTGAGCAATGACCAAAACATAAGCTACTTTGATGATGTTTATTCTTAGCCCTATGCTGCTCTGTGCTTCCTCACCTCAATCAATCTTCCTCTGCTGCCCCCTGGAGTAAGCATTCTACATCTTCAAATTCTTCAAGTTTCTGGTCACACCACACCAATTATTTCTACCCCAATTCTGATTTAAGCCTATAATATACCTCAAAATGTTTTTTATGAACGGTTTAAGTAAGGTCAAGGTTTATATTTTCCATAGATATTCAGCAGCTATACCATTATATGTTAAAGTGGCATTCCTTTCTCCTTCGAGCTAAACTGGAGCCTTTTTTGTAAGTCAGTATTTGGTGGATTTACCTCTTTTATATCCTTTATTCTTCACTTCCAATGTATTTGTCTATCCTTAGGCCAACAAAGTTCTGATTACTGTAGCTTTATAATATGTCTTAAAATTGGGTTGCGCAAACCTTAAACTTTCTCAAGATTGTCCAGGATACTCTTTTTTAAAAATTTCCACATAAATTTTAGAATCTGCATGACAATTTCTATTTTTAAAATATCTGAAGGATTCTGATTGGGATTACAATGAATCAATTTAGGGGAAGGTATCATCTGAAATATACTGATTCTTTCAATCCATAAGCATGGATTAATTTTCTATTTATATAGATCTCCAATCTTTTCAGTTTTTTTGAGTTTTATTTAACCAAAAGTGTTTCTATACATTTAATCAGCAAGTGTCCCCTTAGGAAGGAGGGTCAAATGACTCCCTCTCCAGCAAGAACTACTGTTACAGAGATTTAAAAATAACTTGCTAAAAATCCCTTTTTGCCGCGCGGGGGCGGTGTTAGGGATTGAACCCAGGGCACTTTACCACTGAGCTATATCGGCAGTCCTTTCTTTTTTTGGGTACTGGGGATTGAACTCAGGGGCACTTGACCACTGAACCACATCCCCAGCCCATTTTTGTATTTATTTAGAAACCAAGTCTCACTGAGCTGCTTAGCTTCTCGCTTTTGCTGAGACTGACTTTGAACTCGCAATCTTCCTGCCTCAGCCTCCACAGCTGCTGGGATTATAGGCATGTGCCACTGCTTGGGGCCCCTTTTATAATTTTGAGACAGTCCTGTTAAACTGCTGAGGCTGATATCGAATTTGTAACCCTTCTCCTTTCTGAGTTGGTGGGATTACAGGCAGCAACACTGCACCTAGCTATACGTGTAGTTTATTGATGCTATTTTAAGCAGTGCTATTACACATTTCAACTCCTAATAAGCTGTTCTATATCAGGTATCAATAGGCAAATATAAGCTTTGTAGGCCATATGATCCCAGCATAATGACTCAATTCTTCCCTTGAAGGTGAGAAAACAGCCATAAACAACAAGTAAATGAATATAGCTGTGTTCCAGTAAAACTTTATAAAAATAGAAGGCTAGCTGGACTTGCCATATAGGCAAGTTTGCCAGTCACTATTTATTCTAGAGTACAATAGACTTCCATATATTTACCATGTACATTAACCTTTCATAGTTAATTCACACATTAATTCTAGTGATTTTAATATTCCTTTACAATTTCTACACAGTCACATCACCCTAAAATAAAGCATTTTTAGTTTTCTCTTTCCATCTTTAAGCCTTTAATATCTTTTACTTGTCTTAATGTAAGGGATAATTTTGCCTTTGCTTTATTTCTGACATCAGGGGAAAACTTCCATCATTTCACCATTAAGTTAGTTCTTGTTTTTCATTTACAGAAGTGATATATAATTTAGGAAATTCTCTGGGTGTTGAATTTTATCACATGCCTGTTTGATATCCCTTGAGATGGCTACAATTATTCTTGATTTTGTTAATAAGCATTAAACAACTTTACCATTTCGAGATAAACCTCACTTTATCATTACATAATCTCCTTGTTCAGAATTGCTGGCTCTATTAATATTTTGTCAAAGATTTTTATGTTTTATGACTCTTTCTGGGACACAGATCTGTAATTTTTTTCTCATAAGATAATGATCTTGTCAGATTTGGTTATCTCAGTTACCTAACCTTGGTTATCTTGTTAAGTACTTCCTCTTCCTCAGTTCTCTGAAAGACAACGTATAGTATTAGTAAAAATTATCTTTTTCCTAAATGCATAGTTGAATTTACCAGTAAAGCAAGTCTACATTTTTTTTTTTTGTGGGAGATTTTAAATTATAGTTCCAACTTCATTAGCAAATACTGAGATTTTATTTTCTCTATGTTGGTTTAAGAAAGTTGTATTCTTCAAAGAATCTGTCCATTTCATCTAAGCTGTCAAAACTTGACATAAAGTTGCTCATAATAGCCCTATATTATTCTTTTTTTTACTTTTTAAAGAGATGGGGTCTTGCTATAGTACCCAGGCTGGCCTTGAATACCTGGGCTCAAACCCTTGTGCTGCTGAGACTATAGGCATGTGCTCCTTATATCATTCTTTAAGGTCTATAGTTATCCCTGCTCTTTATTATTATAATAATTTTTGTGGTGATGGGAACTGAATCCAGAGCCACCCACTTGCTAGGCAAGCGCTCTACTGCTGAGCTACACCCCCAGCTCTACTTTCATTCTTTTTCTTTTTTTTTTAAATACTGGGGATTTTTTAACCCAAAGGTGTTTTTTTCCACTGAGCCACATCCCCAGCCCTTTTTTTGTATTTTGTTTAGAGACAGGATCGCAATAATTTGCTTAGGGCCTTACTAAATTGCTTAGGCTAGCCTTGAACTTGTGATCCTCCTCCTCCAGCCTCCCCAGCCACTGGGATTATAGGTGAGCACCATCACCTGAGTGGTTTGAGACAGGGTGTCATTAAATTGCTGAGGCTGGCCTTGAACTTGAGATCCTTCTGTCTTAGCTTCCTAAATTGCTGGGATTACAGGTGTGCACTACTATGCCTGGCTACTCTTATTCTTGATACTTGGGTATTCTTTCTTCCTTTCTCTTTCCTTGATTGGTCTGGCTAGGGACTTGTCAATTTTATAAAAATTTTCAAGGAAAACTTTTTTGGGGGTGGGGGGCATTGGGGATTAAACCTAAGGGTGTTGAGCCACATCCTCAGCCCTTGTTGTTTTGAGATGGGGTCTTACTAAGTTGCTGAAGCTGGCCTTGAACTTGTGATCCTCCTGCCTCAGCCTCCTGAGTTGCTGGGATTACAGGTGTTCACCACCACAACCTGAAATTTTATTACTGATAATTAATTTATATCATATAATGACATGTTTCTATTTTGTTGATTTTTGCTCATTTTTTTTTTCTATTACTTTTGGGATAAATTTCTTTTCTAGCTTCTTAAGACTACAAATCTTGATGTTACAATTTGTAGCCATTAAATTAAAAGTGCCAAATTACATTTTTATATTGTGGGCATGTATGAATATATAACAAAATTCCATAAATGTGTACAAC